GACCCTTCCAAAAAACAGTTATGTTGGATGATATCGTCACTTTTTGGAAACTGAAAAAGTTGCCAAAATTAAAGGACTACACTTGATGTTGTAGATGATATGCAGTACCACATCCTTTATAAATGAATAAAAATTAAAAATTGTTTTTTACTTTAATTAGAAAATATTAACACTTTTTAATTATTTTTAATTATTATTATTTTTGTTACGACTCATTTACAAAAAATAATTAATAAATTTTATGTAAATTAATATCCGATCCAATGATAGTTGCAGAAGGTTAATTCTTTGCAGAAGTTTGTTTCGTCTAACTGTAATTTCTATTTTTGTTTTTGTTGTTTTGCAATTTTAGAAATTAATAAAAAACCCAATGAAACCAAAAAATAACCAATGAATAAAAACGAATCATTTATATTTTTGTAGATAAAATAAATTATTTCTGAAGAGAATCGTGTTCTCTCCTTTATCATTAGCACACATTCAAACATTTTGTTCACACATTACACAAAAAGTTGTCAACGACCATGGCAAATTAAATTATCTCGCTCTCACACACATTATATATTATATTTTACCACAATCTCTCCCCGCATATTATAAATAATGCAATGAATGACTGTTTTGAGTTCAAAATATTTTCTTTTATAGTCCAAAATTCGATTTTTTAAATCTGTTGACTTTTTAATCATTCTTATTCTTATTTTTTTGTAATTTTATTTTATTTAAAATGTGAATCGAAACAAAACAATGTTTTTGATTAATACAATTAATATTTTAATATAATAAAATATTAAATTTCTATTGTTTATCAAGATTCATTTGAAATTATAATGACAATAAATGTTGATTAAAATTTTTATTGAAAGTATTTGAATAAAAAACATTATTTTTATAAAAATGTTTTTACTTAAGATGTATGTTATATTATACTATTATATGCTATAATTATTAATAATATTTATTATGTACATTTATTAGTTTATTAAATTATTATTTTATCAAAAATAATTATTCAAACATCGATATATTCTTTTATAAATAGCAAGGATCAGACACTAAACATTCAAATGGTGTATTTAACATGTTGTTAACAGCTTTTTATTTTCAACAACAAAACTCACTTTTGATATCCAAGAATGTGTTTATTAAAATTGACTTCATTGATTTATATAACTAGAACAATATTATAATTTATTATCAATAAAACTATTTATTTTATTTTTTTTTCAAAAAATCAACAACCTTACAATTATAAATGTAGTGCATTTATCTGTCATTCATTTCAATTTATTTATTCAATAGTTGTTATCAAAAAGTCAGTTACAACAATTTAAAATAACATTTTTTTCAAAATAAAGAGTTTAAATTATTTTAACAGGCATTCGTTTTTCAACTTTTTAAAACACATATTTATACATATTACTTTTTATTACGAACAATAATATTTAAACATTATCCCATATGTGTCATATATAACACTTCATGTTAAAACATATTAAAACAAATATCATCGTTAAGAGAAACGATGACTATTTTTTGGATAAATACAAAAACAGAGTTCTCATTTTTTTGTTCCAAAAAACAAAAATTATTGCAAATTTTTACCCGTCGCTTCGCAACGGGGTTGTTACAAAACAATATTTGTGAAAAAAATATTTTTAAAATTTACAAATACAATACTTGACTCACAAAAAGCGTTCATATTATTGGCCAGTTAATAAATCCATTTTCCTTCCACAAACAAATAAATCAAAATTGTTCCAAAAAGTGAGCGAAAACGGAAAATCAAGGGTTTTTGTTTTTTTTGAATAATAACAATAAATATTAATTGATTATGTTTTACATTGTATTAATTTCGAAGTTTTGGAGCATTCCCCAACTAGTTTATGGATCCCAACCAGTTTATAGACCCCCTATACCTCAATATTATTTACTATTTCTTTTAATTATTTTCAACCATTTGAAAACTATTTTACTATTAGAAAAATAACCATACATTATAATAATTATAATTATCAAAAATACTAAAGCAACTTAACACACAAAAAACAACACTTAACATGGTAAAAAAGAAGAAATATTTGTCAACACATCAAAAATTATCAATACAAAAAGTTTCATTCAACTGATTTTTGTTGATAAATCATTTAATCAAACATTATGTACAACTAATTTTTTATAAACTGTCGTTTTATTTTTTATATTGCAACACAAAATTATTTACTACTATATTTCAATAACACTACATCATAAACAAAAACGTTTAAAGTAGTCACTTTTTGATTATCATTATCCATAATTTTATAACATTTTTAATATAAAAATATCACTGTTGATCACACGATTTTATTTTAAAATAGTACAATAAATAAAACGTGGTATCTATATTATGTGTAAGCTTGTAACATCGAACTAATACTTTAAATGATAATACCAAGATTAAAACACTATTACTATTTACAACAATTTTAAATACCGAATTTTGGCTCACAAATATGTGTACATATAATAAAAAACATTTTTCATTCCTTTAAAAGTTTAGCATTATTTTTTGTTAAAAACTTTACATAAAATAGTTTAATAAAACATTTTAAAGCTTGTTGTGAACAAGAGTTGAATTGTACCTTGTTAATTTCATAAGAAAACGATGTTTTCAATTATTCACATAACAAAGATATTAACACAATTGAACGTTTAAATAATTTAATAATTATTAATAACAGATATACAATATTGTATATACAAATGTAATCGTAAACAATTATTTCCAATTGAATAATAACTGTTAATGACATTATTATTCTCAAATATTGATTATTATTTTGTGTAATTTGTTAGACATTTTGTTAAAACAAAGAAAAAATCAATAAAACAATTGTTTAATTGTGTAACTAAGTCTATGTTCACAATTATCATTTAACAGCTATTTGTTGATAACACATATAAGCGAGATATATATA